CCATAACGTTCTGTGATTCTGTGTGATTCTGAAGTATTGAGAAATTATCTGCTCCTTGATGTACTGTGCTAGTACTTTCATGTAATGGTATGTGAAGTCTTATTTCTGAAAATAAACTTTCAGAGCAATTTAACTTCATTAAAACATATTTTTCCATCAATGTTATCTTAAGTTTTTGCTGCCATGGCTGCACTTTTATGCTAGTACTTGTCAGATCTGTCTGTGAGCTGGGTTGGTTTGTTACGCTGTCAGGTGGGTAACCAAAATGTAGAATTTCCTGCTCAGTTATCAAACTGAAGTAGCTCATTATGGGCTCAAATGAGTGGCCGTACCAAAGCAGGAAGGAAGCTGAGGCCATATAGGATTTATTTAATTTTGTTGCACTGTCCTGATATTATACTATTAGTGCTTTTCCCTGGGAATTTGGAGAACTTGGAGACAAATGTTTCTGCAATTTTTAGGAGCCTCTCCTTAGTCTTTGTTATTAAGAAAAAAACCACTTGTTTTAAACACAGGTTAAGAGAAGCTATAGTTATGCAAGATAAGCTATTTGAATAGTTGCTGAAGGGTATTTTTGTTTGTACTAGTCCATATGCATAAATATTGACTAAATAATCTTACTGTACATTATTTGTCTTAATTTTTTGCATAGAGCCTGCTTAGAATACAGAGTAGGGTAATGTAAAACCTGAAATCTTAGCGACTAAGGAGAAACTTAGTGATAGAAGAAACAGTTTTCTTTGACCCCCATGTTTTGCAAACTTGCAGAGTATGTATTCCTTGCTAACAGCTTTGTATGTACTCAGTCTTTGAGTTTTAGCTTTATAGACAACCTGGGTTCTTTCAGTACAGAAAAGATCTCTAGTAAAAATCATAGAAAACACTATAAAAATATATAGCTTATAGCAGCTATGAGAAAATCGAAGGTTTATTATATTGTAGTATTGCTACTACATCACTGTGCATTTTATTTGAAAACACAAACATACCATGCTTGCATGCACAAGTGTTAATTAGCCATGCTCCCTACATCAGCGCTGAAATACCATTTTAGTTTCTGTGATGTAAAGCAATTAAGTGTCCATTTGTTTAATACCTGTCAATATATGTTTGCATGTATAGTAATCAAAATCCAGTAATTATAGTTCAGTAAGTGAAGGTTACTTGGCTATCTTTAGAGGTAATACATCTTCATGTTCTGTTGTGACTGTGTCATTATCTCTGTTTAACAACTTAATCAGTGTTTCTGTGCTTATTTTTTCTCAAGTGGGAATAATAATCAGTAGATTAGAAAAAGACTTAGTTTTTAATTTATTTTCAGATATTATACTTGGTTTTTTTTAATGAAATGAAATTGAAAATGTTTCCATCTTTCTCTTATGATTTACATTTATTAAGATAATTTATGTTAAATGTTCCATTCTTTAATTATTTTTGGAGGAGATTTGCCATATAAATTTTATGTGGATTCTAGTTAAGTAAAATCTGACAGTGAGTTGATTTTGAAATATGCTGGCTCTAAACAGTGTTGTGCTTGGGAAAGAGCATCTGAATTAAGCCATTTCAAACTAAAGAGAGCTCTTTTACTTTATCTTTTATAGTTTGTATTGCTATCATGGTAGTATCTAGCTTCCAGTGAAGTGGATAGTTACTTCAAAACAATTGGAGTGCTAAATAAATTCACACAGGAAATACTTGTTTGGCTTTGAAAGTCTATTTAGCAGTTTCTAGTGCATTATATAAATCAATGAAATTGTTTACTTTTCCCTAATGTGAACATTATTAATTACATTCCTCCCTTTTCTCTAGTTAAAGTACCTCGTAATTTTCGCTTGTTGGAAGAACTTGAAGAAGGGCAGAAAGGAGTAGGTGATGGTACAGTAAGCTGGGGCCTTGAAGATGATGAAGATATGACACTCACCAGATGGACAGGAATGATTATTGGGCCACCGAGGGTAAGTGTGATAAATTAAAATGTTTTTCTTAAGTTTGTAGGCAAAACAAAATGCAAAAAATTATTTTACTTTTCTACAGTGTAAGGGAATTAGTTAGAATTGAATGTATGAAGTTGTAGAAACACTGCATAATTGTGTTAGAATTCATCACTTCCTGGCATGTTAGTGTTTTCAGTCTAGCCTCCCCTAATACGTGTTCCTGCAGCTGTCAGTATAAGCCAATAGTGATGTGAAACTATTACTGAGTTAGGAATATATTCAGTTTGTATTTCCACCATTACATCTCATAAGTGTACAGTGATAGTACAGTAAGCAGGATGTCTTTCCACAATTTACCATATGTGCCTGATAAATTCAGTTCTGTAGCAAACTGCCAATATATTGTCAACTTTCACAAGTTTTATGGAATAGTCTTTGGGTATAGCAGTTTATGCATTTCAGTTGAATCATGCCTGAAGACCAAACAGTTCTTAATTACCTCTAAGAAGATAAAATATATACACAAATTTTAAACCCTTTTGACCTTTTAATTTCTGTAGAATGCTGTCTAGACTGACAAGACCTGCAAGAGAAGTAATCTCTTGTGTCTGAGTATCAGCCTTGTCAGCTATGGGTGGACACATCTTTACTTGACTCATGCACACTTTCTCATGAGTTACAACATGACACAAAATATTACTGTGTAAATGAGAACTTTAAATTAGTATCCTTCAAGTAGCCCTAAGTTAGCCTATGTGTTTCACTGCTAACATGAGGTCACTGTTTTGTGTGTCCTTCAGTGCTGCAGGGCAGGAAGAACTATCCAAGAAAATAACTGAGATCAGAACTTGGCCTGGGTGAAGATAATGTCATCCAGAGTAACAGAGTTCCAGACTTAAATTCAATGTAATTCAAGCTCCTCTTGGAAGTCAGGTGCAACTTGCAGTAGACTGTTTTGAACTTCTGCATAATTGTGCTGAGCTCCTAAGATTTAGAAGCATTTGAGAGAGAACCTATTTAAAATATAAGTATAATGATGGTATGCTTTGGATAGTAGTTTCTATGGAATCACAGTGTTTGAATACATTTTGAAGAAAGTTTATGGTCTTAGTGGGCTTTGAAAAGAACTTGCAAATGTGAGCATACTGAAGTAGTGTTTCCCTGACTCTCCAAACACCCTCCAAAACTGTCTGTGACTGGTTTCTGCTTCAGCCTAAGGTAGACTCCTAACACATCTTTGAAGGGAGTGATTATTATGTAGGAGCCCATGTGTTTTAAAAAATTAATAAAAACCCAAACCCTGGGATGCACTTTTAATTCTGGTTAATTTATATTGCTGTCGTTTTGGGTTTTTTTAATTAAAAAGTGCACAGAAATAATATCTTGGGCCATTTCAGGATCATGCAGTCTTGCTGATAGTATGTGGTGATTGTAGAAAGCCACCAGCTCCCAAGCCAGTGATGGCACCTTGAGAACAGCTGTATAACCAGTTTTAGGGTTTGTCGAAGATGGGTGATTCTGGACTTGTCTGAGTGATGTAGTCAGGGTGCATTTAGGCAGAACACAGAGAAAGTTGTTAATACCGTCCCCAGGATGAAGTTCTTCATGTGCATGGCTTCTCTAAAGCTGTGCAAAACTTGCTTATCATTTTTTTTTCTTGCTTCATTTAAAAAGTGAACCAACATGGAGGGAGGAGGGGATGATTTGTTTTGGAATAAAGGAAACATTTTTCCCACAACATGGCTACCAAAAAAATGTGGTTTTAGGCTTTTTGAGGAGCTGGCCAGGGATGCTTGGTTTGCATAAAACAGTGACTTGAAAAACTGAGCAAAACTGTGAAGTCACCTGGATAGAAATTAGGGAATGAGAATAAGTGCCTTTTGTAGAATTTTTCAGAGGTGTGAGCAGTGTATATACATTCTGGCATATTTCTACTCAAACTGGCAGCATCCCTTTCTAGGGAGGTAAATTGTTTTATCTGAGTGAATAATGACAAGTTTTGTTACTGCGTTTTCTTGCAGCAGTAGCAGGGCAAGATTACTTTTATCAGACCTTTAGCTTTTAATGGGAAAGAACAATAGAAAACCTTTTTCTAGGAAAGAATGTCCTGCTTTGCCTTTTTTCTTTCTGACCCACTTGCTGCTCAGTCTCTTATGACTTCTCAAAATTATAGGCCACAGTTAACGTGCTTCAGTAGTCCAGTTTCCACTCTGCCTTTTAATTGACCACAGAGTAGACTGTCATTTGATAACCTAACTGTGAGGTTGATACTTCTGCTTGGAGAGAATGACAGCTGGCTGATGCAGAGCAGTGTAAAGATGGTACTTCAGAGGCATGTTACTGCTTTTGGTTCATGTTAGCTGTATCTGTTGTGCCAATGAAAAGACAGGTGTAGAGAGTGGGTTTATTTTCCTTTTGGAGCACAGAGGCATGTGCATCAGCGACCAGCAAAGCCACTGTTACTTTTTCTTGTGCATGGCCTACTTGACAAGATAAAAAAAAAAAAAAAAGAGAGAGCTGTGTTAGTTTCTAATTGGCCTTCCTCTGAATGTATTTGCCCTTGGAATGATCTGTTCCATAGTCACTTTGGAGTGATGTATTCTGCAAACTACCTGTCACTTTACTGTCCACGGTTCATAAATCCTCTAGGAACCCAAGCAATCCTCAGCCATGGAAGATTTAGATACTTTCTGGAATGTTAATTACTTTGTGAATTTGTTTTTTGGAAATACTGTTTTCATCTTGTTCTTGGTTTTGTCTTAACTGTGGGCTTATTGACATCTTCATCTTTCTCAATTTCAATTGTTTTGCAGTGTTAGATCTTTTTTTTTACAGGGGAAAGTGGTAATTTTCCTTAAGGTTATTGGTTTTCTGTCAGCCCCTACTATACCAAAGTTGTTTTGTGAATGCAGGTGGGTAGGAAGCATAAATGTGACTTAAAAAATAATTGTATACTGTTAAAACTTTTGTATGGTATGGTCAATCAGAAGTGTAACTCATACATATTCGTCAAGTAATCAGTATAATCAAAACAGTGGAATATCATTTAGTAATCAAAGACCATCAATTGGTACATACTATTAACAGGTTTATAATTATTTCATATTTCTCTCATTTGTCTTTATTACTCTTGCTTTTGCTTTATTTTTTTAATTTATTAATATTCAGGGTTCAGTAAGATGCATTAGTCTGTCTTTTTGCTTTCTAGACAAACTATGAAAACAGAATATACAGTCTGAAAGTAGAGTGCGGACCTAAATATCCAGAAGCACCTCCTACAGTTAGATTTGTAACTAAAATTAATATGAATGGAATAAATAATTCCAATGGAATGGTAAGTTGAAATGGTAAGATCAACCATTTTGTTAATCTGTACTAGAAATTATTTCTGTGAAAAACCCAGGTGAGGAATATGCATGCTGGACAGAGCTTCATATTTAAATTTTACAAAATAAGTACTTGGTTTGAATCAGATGTTGTTTGCCTACTACTATTTTTAGGCTTTTGCAGTATGTTAGTGGTTCTTAGTGGCTTATCAATGAGACAAGCATTATTTATAGTGTTGAAACAGTTGTTTCTTTTCAATGAAGCTGAAGATTTTAATTTTGAACAGGAAAAAAGTGTTTAAGCCACATAGGTATTTCCCTTGTAATAATAAAGGGAATTAGAGTCGTATTGTAACAGAAATATTACAAACTTTATCTAATGTTTCCATTAATTAAAAACTGAAATTATTCCTGATGACTCTCACGCTGCATGTAGTAACTCACCTGTAATGAACTGATGTGTTTAAACACTTTTAATATTTGGTTTATGAAAATCCAAGGTGATTCTGAGCTTCAGCCTTGTTGTGGTTTAACCTGGCAAGCTGCTAAACACCGTGTGTTTCTCTTGCTTATCTCCCACCCGCCTCCACCCCTCCTCCCCTTCCTCCCCAGTGAGATGGGGAAAAGAATTGGGAGAGTAAAAGTAAAGAACTCATCAATTGAGCTAAAGACTATTTAATAGTTAAACCAAACCAAATTTAAATAATAATACCAGTGAACTGCATCAAGAAAAAGATCAATGATAATAAAGCAGTCAAAGTTGTACTCATCTCACAAACAGCAGCCGCTGGCTGTACGCCAACAAAACACAACAAGGCAGGGGTAAGCCTCAGGAACCAAGAGGGGCTGCCATCACAAAGGAGAAGGGAAGGGATCAAAGGAAGCAAGGGTCAAAGGGATTGTCCCTTGCAAACTCCCCAATTTATAGTGAGTGTGATGCTTATAGACTAGAACACATCTTCATTGGTCAGCTTGGATCATACTTGGATCATCTGTCCTGGGTCACCTGTCCCAGAGAATCCTGGGCTTTCGCTCCCCCTGCCCTCATCCTCCTGTGTAGAGAGAGAAGGAAAATCAAAACTAGAACAAAAGAAGCTACGACCACATTTAGGTACAGACTGAAAAACAAAACCTTGAAAATTAAACATCTGCTGGTAAGAAACAAAATAAAAAATCAGCAACTGTAAGGAAAATAACTATCCTGACTAAAGCTGTATTATCAACTTATGTTCACTAGAGCGAACACTGCACTTTTCACAGAAATCCAGCTCTGCTGAAACATTAAAAGGGAATTCTACAATTCAATTCCAGCAAAACCAGGAGAAGTCTTAAGATCTTTTGATAGAGATGATAATCACTTCCATTTTAAAGGCCAACTTGCAATGACTTACTTTCACTGATCCCACACTGAAGGTGGCATGAGCTCATGTATGTGAGCAATGGCAGCTGCTCAGGCATGTTTGCTACACCATTATTTACTAGGCATTTTAATCCTGTGAGTGCATCTGAGGTGCCCCCATTGCTCAGGGAAAAGAGGTGTGAGCTGTCTTGCATTTACAGTAGGATATGCATATTTTTATACATTAATATATCACATTTGTCTGTGTGTACACTTGTCTTTAGTGAATGCAAAGTAATTGGGTTAAGGTAATAATTAAGGGTGAATCAGCATCTTTGAATTTTTTTGGACTTGCATTTGTGTATTTAACAGCACTGAAATGTGAAGCTTGGGTATCTCAATGACTGTAGGGGAGGGAGAGGTTCTCAGGGGTTCATTTGAGCTGGTGTAGGTGTAGTATAGGGTAGTGTATTGGTTTGTCATCTAGTGCCAGTGCACTAGGACTTAATAAATAATCTAAAATTAATTTGAAAGTACTTCTTGCACAGCCAACAAATTTACTCTATGTGAAGATCTTATTAAAATTGCTGTCTCCAAACCAGCTGTTGCCCTTCATCCCAACTGTGGCTTGTTGCCTAAGTATATGAGTTTATTAAGAGGCTGTGACTAGCAAAAGCTGCCAATGTGGAATGCAGCGGAGCATTTGGTATGTTTACACTATTTTCATACCTCTACCTAGTAATATGTATTATTCTGAATCAGTAAAGAAGTATGCTCTCGTTGCTTCATCTGTGTGTGCCTGAGAGTAGAGATGCTGGTTTCCAGAAGCAGAGTCGCAGACCTGCAGAGCCTGAAGGCTGATCTTTACCAAGCCATTCTGCTTGAGCTTTTGTTTGGAGAAATCTACACTCCCTCAGCTTGCTGAGGAACAAGGTGAATACTGTGACAGGAGATCCACCTGGTCGTTTTAAAAGCACTGTTGACAGTTCACTGTTCATTCAGTTTTTCCCCAACAGTTCTATAAGCTATATCTTATGAAGGATTTGCTATCAAAATGGATAACTTTTTTTAACGGATTTAAATAGTATTTTTAATGAGAACCATTTTCATAACTAATGAATTTAAAACTCATTATGTAATTTTTAATGTGTTCATTAACCCAGTATCTTGCATTTTAGCTTATTTTGCCATTGTGCCTACCAGAGCTGTGTTCACTAGAATCTGCCAGATAAACTGGGGGCATGTTCAGCATCCCAGAACGGTTCGCGTCGCTGCTTCCTGTTTTAGTTCCTTCTTGTTTCTTCCAAGCTGTTCTTCCACTTTCTGATTTTCATTCATTTAATAGATCATAAGTGGTTTGCTGTATTCTTTGAATGAATGACAGGGTTTCATCTTCAGGCAAACTCTATTATCCATGATTCTGTATGCACCCTGTTTTTTGACATGTGGCCAGCTTTTGATCACATTGCTCATAGATGCCATGAGAAGTCCGGTGACTTGCAGAAAAGAGACCTGAAACAAACAGCAACTGAAATCGTATGTTGTAGCAGCATTCTCATACTACTCAAAACATTTGGAATGTTGTTAAGGTGTGCTTTACAGAATCACAGAACGTTAGGGATT